GCTAGCAATGAATTGAACTAGTATAGTTTGATCAATTTATTAAATTTGAAATATAATGAATAATGACTTAATTGATTTGTTGAATTTGAAAAGTAATCAATAACGACTTAATTACTTTGTTAATTTTGAAAAATAATCAATGAGTTTATCGCAAACTTTTCCATATTATATTCATTTTAATATAAATTCCCTCAATTATCCTTCCTATTTGCACTCAGTTTTATCTAGCAACTTTTCATCCCTCTTATTGTCCAGTGAAATTGAAATTGGAGTACCTCCTCATTATTTGTCGTTAAATGTCATCAGACTGATGACCTTCGTGAAATGTGATACAATGTCCACAGAGAATCGGGGAGGGAAAAAAATCCTGACAGAAGGTAAAATAACCAAAAGAATAATCGGATATAAGAGCTTCGAGTGGTTTAATAGTATGACTTTCTTTTTATTTTGAGTAATTAAAATTTTTTCCATTAAATGGATCATCAAAAAGTTCCATTTTCATCATCAACATTATTATCATTATTATTATCATCATCATTATCATCATCATTATCATTATCATCATTATCATCAACATTATTTATTCAACAGTGAAAAAAAAGTAGTAATTTTTCGCTTTTATCGTTATGGTTTTTCCAACAATTTTTGTTTCCTAAATTTGATTTAAAATTTAAAATTTGGAAAAGAGAAAACGGAAGGAATAAATTTTTCCTGTTTTTAATCAGTTGATCAGAAATTCTTTGATCGGAAAATTTCAATATGATTTTTAATATTTATCTCCACTTTCCCAGAAAAAAAATAAAAATAATGTATTATTTACTGAAATGATTAGAAAGAAATTTCCGATGAAAATTCGATGAGAATCCGGTAGAAATCCGGTGGAAATCTGGCAGATAAGAAAGATGGAGAATAAATACTCGCAAAATATGCAATTAAGAAGGGAATAATATCCATTGAAATTAAATTATAAAATTTCATTTTATTTTGTAATTGAACCGGAATGAATATTTTACGATGCGAATAAATGGTTAAAAAGGTGTTGAAACACATAAACATACAAAAGTAGTGCATCAAAATTTATGCAAAATTTATGTTTTACTGCAAGTTAAAAATTGCTTTGTAAAAATTAGCAATTTTTAAATGTAAATTTTGACGTGAATTTTGACGTGTTATAATTTCGTTAATAATTGTATTGCAATAAAATATAAATGATTTGCATAAATTATGGTGTAAAAATTTACATAATTTTATTCATAATGAAATTTATTTTACAAATCTGTTTTTTTATTTTTATCTTTTCTTATGAAATTTTGTTGTTTTTTATTTTTTTATTTTATTTATTATAAATTTTATAAAGTTTTGCAAAAATTATTTTATAAATCTTATTTTTTTTATTTTTGTTTTTTTTATGAAATTTTTTTACTTTATCTTTTTATAAAATTTATTAAATTTTGTAAAATTTATTTTATTCATAATTTCTTTTCATACTTACAAATTAGTAATTTTATGTGTAAGTTAAAAAAGTAATTTCGAGATTTTTGTATAAATTAAAAAGTAACGTACTAAAAAAATTTAAAGAAAAAGAGGAAATGTTGGAAAGTGATTTAAATGATGATCATTTGTATAAATAAATCATTATTCGTTTTTTTCTTTTCATTAATTTGTTCATTAAGCGATTAAGTTTTGTTTATCTTATCAGCTTATCAATTTAATCATTGTTTTCATTATCATACATATGTAAATTAATGATTCATTTGTCCTATTAACATTTTCTAACATTTAATTTCTTAATTTTTTATTAATTTTTTTATTAAATTTAAACAATTATTATTTACAACATATTTGAGTGAGGAAGAGATAAACAAAGGAAGAGAGAGAGAAAACAGAGGAACAGGGAGAGAGAGAGAGAGGGGGGAAGAGAAAAGAGAAAGGGAAAGCTTTGCTAAAATAACTATTGAAAATGTCATTATCAATAAGAACAAACTGATTGTTACTTTCTTTTGCTTATTTCAAGGAAAAGAAAATAATGGAAAAGGAAAAAAAAAGATTTTAATATTTTTTATAACTTATTCCATTACCGGTATTTCTTTTCCTTTACCATTTCCAATATTTTTCCCCTTTCTCATTTCCAACATTTTTTTTTTGTGTTTTTCCATTGTTATCATTTTTTTCTTTTTTTATTGCTGTTATTTCTTTTTCTTTTTTCACTTCCGATATTTCTCATCCTTTTTCATTTCCAATACCAATTATATATTTGGCTAATTAATACTTACTTTTAGTACTTTCTTTCCATTTTTCATTTTCAGCTATTTTTCCTCTTTTTTCATTTCCAATTATTTTTTCCCTTTTTTTCCACTTCTGCTTCTTTTTCATTTCCAATTATTCCTTTCCCTTTTTCATCCTCAACTTTCCTTCTTTTTCCGTCATCTCCAATATTTCTTTTCCTTTTTCATTTCTAATATTTCCCTTTTCCTTTCCAAAAATCCAGCGAATATACTGACTGCTAGCTCCAAGCTGATTCATTTGACTTTTTTTTATCCAAGTGTGTGTGTGTATGTATGTGTGTGTGTGTGTGTATGTGTGTGTGTATGTGTGTGTCGTGTGTGTGTGTGTGTG